TCTTTCCCTCCCCTCACACGTCTCAAACATTAATACTGTATCTCTGATACGATTGCTGAATTTTCAGATGTTTCTACTTAGGAATTACCAAAACTTTAAACTGATGTATGACACTTGCTCACTTTTTTTAGAACAACATCAGGACACAAATTCTTAAGCTTTTGCTGTGGAAGAAAGCCTTTTCTTTTAAAACATAATTTAACTCAATTATTGACATTCTTATCATGAATCAGCAACCACTCTGTGTCACTACCAGTACTCACCTGCTAACAGCATACCTCCGCGTACTATTTTGACATTCACCAGGTCTGAAGGAGAGAATTCCAGCACACAACTAATACATCGCCTTTGCAGCTTGCACATTTGTTTTCAAAGCAGACTTGGAAGAACTTGACACTAAAAGTAAGTTCAGCTAGAAAAACAAAGAAACTCTCCTCACCCTAGGAAGATAACAGAACGGCATAAGGGACTGGACCTCATACCTGCTGGGACCAGGTTCAACACTACTACTGATTCCAACAGAATTTAATCACAAACTCTTTATTCCAGCAGAATTCCTCCAGACTTCAGTGGAATTTCTATTTGAATAATGATTGCTGGATCAAATCTTTGTATAAAAGACAGATATTTAATTTTCATAGGCATTTCAAGGAGGTTTCTTTGTTACCTTGGAGAGTTTATCTTGTTTTAGTTATAATGAAGGTTCCATATGCTTCAGCTCATAACAAGACAATATGAGAAGCAGACTCAAATCATGATTTCCTTCAAATTCAAAGGCGAATAATTACTTTTCTAAACAGACGAGAACAAATGCAGGCAATGCATTTGTGTGGAGCTGCACGTGAATGAGCAACCGAGTCTGTAAATGTTTCTTATTACAATCTGTTTCTACAACAAATGGGCGTGAGCAACAAATAGAAAAAACAGTGCTGTATATAATAGGAAAAAGAACTGGAAAATGAAGTCCACTGTTTTCAGATAACAACATTTGGGTCCTAAAATACTAAATTCCACTATACCACTGCCAATTTAAAGAATTGTAATGTATTATAAAAGCCAATAAAACTTGCTATTTTGGTTTTGTTTACAGTACTTTTAGCCACAATAAATGCTCCATTTGTCAGGCTGCCATGGGCTTATTCTATAGAAAGCCTGTACAAAGTAGGAAAATAGCCAATAACATACACGAACAAAACAGGGTGGCTTTTATGAGAGCAGATGCCCTTTTATTTAATAACCAAATATTACATCCAGTCTTGCAGACAGTCTTTATTTAAACAGACCTTGTACAAAGTCTGGCAAATTTTCCCAACTTCAAAGGAAGCCCTATTGCCTTCTGAATCACATTCATACTTCTTGCTCTCACCTTCAAATGTTCTGTAGGACAACATCCTCCATACACCCTCTAATTTCGACTTTTCCCCTATGCTTTCCATCAGAACAACCTTTGCTTCTTTTTCTCATCTGTTTTTGAGCGCGCTAATGGGCTTTGCCTGTCTCGCACAGGTTTCTGATCATTTTTATTTTGTAAGTAATATAAATTGCCACTCTGTATGCTGACCGTTTTTTTGAACACGCAAAGAGAAGATCAACATTCAAGGCTGAATAGGAAAAATCCTGCTGACCAGTCAGCCCTGAAAAACTAAACCCCTATCTGAAGAAACATGGCTATTTTCTAATCATGACAAAATTACTCAATTTTGGCCATACCTACAATTATGAGCAGAAAAAGCAAACTCCCTTATTTCTAAGAAAGACAATAACCATCTTCTGCAGACTATTAAAGTAAATTGCGTAGTATTAGCAGTACTGAACCCTTTATCTTAGTAAAGAGAGACAGGAAGAGTGAAGGAGAAAAACTGAAGTAAGTTACTATAAATGAGCAAGTTAGTTACAAAATTCTGGCCTGCCTATGCCATCTAGATAGCTAGTGATCTACAAACATACTTACATTTTCAACACAATTTCTTCAACCGTTCTTCTCCGCGCCTTTTTCTGATTTTATTTTTTCCCATTAACTTGGTTTTCCAACTCACTTTTGCTTATCTGTACTATTCTCATTGCATCCTTCATCCTGCATTCAACAAATATTTTGAAACCAATATCTTGTTTCTCTTCTCCTAATAGGAGGAAGCTGATGTTGTCGTGTCTTATCCTCCAAATCTGCCACGGAATGTGACAGTTCCAAGTCTTAGCCCTCTCTCTTCTTTGAAAAAGCATCACTCAATCTATTCTGCTCACTATGTAACAGTGAGCAGGATAGGTTGACAGTATGGGTAAGAAAAATAGTAACAGTATGGGTATGAAAAACCACCATGTAATTTTAATTACATACTTAAAACTTTAACAGCCTCCAAAACCACTGGCATACTTGTCTACCAATTTCACCAGGAATTAGAAGTCATTAGAAGCCAGCACATTCAACCTGTGCATGACAGATGACCTCCTGACTCCGTCTTCTTGCCAGTGCTGAAGATGGAAAGTACTAAAGGAATTTTTCCACTCATTTTGCTGCGTCTCAAATACGCCACTCTGCCTTCACTCTACCAGTAAATATCTATTGAGCTGATCTAATTTTGCTTTGTTGAAATCATTAGATTGCACCCAAAGATTTTTGCAAAATCTTTATTTTAATTCACAAATTACTGAAGGAATTCTGCAAAAAGCCACATAACCATCACAGCATCCACAAGGCTTCTAACCTTGATTTTACAGGTAAAATCAGCATCCTGATCTGCTAAGTAACTTTAATCTGCTACACAGTGATGAGGAGAATTTTCTACACCAGCAGGTACTTCTAAAACTACCCCTATAAAAGACGATCAAA